CATATTTTTTAAATTGTTCAATTATAATCTTAGAGAAGACAGAACTTCATTAATTATAAAAAAGGAAGTATTCAACTTTAAAATATTCTTCAATTGATTGATTTGCCTAATCACTACTACTTTTGTCAAATTACTTATTTATTCAAATTATATGTTTTTATTAGAATGCATCTTTGACAACCATTTTACTTGACCTTGTTGTCAGTTTATCCATGACAATAGCAAATTTAATGTCTCTATAATTTTCAAGAAATGAAACAATTCCTTGTAAGAGGTCAATAGCACCATCAATATCCATATTTTCGATTTAAAGAATTTTACTCAAAAATATTGATTGCATACAACAACCTGAACCAGGTTACCATACTAAACAAGAACTCAAAATTTTGTAGTTCATATGTTGTTAAGGACTCGATTTTACTCTTTATTTAAGGATTTTCATTAATTTTTGTCAGTCTAGTAAAACATTTCTTATTTTAAAAAAATAAATCGAATACTATCTATGTAATGAACAAGTCGAGTAGAACTAAGAAATCACTGCAACATGAGTTTGAGAAGTCCCAAGCTACTTGTCCCCTTTTGTTATATTTGAAATAGACCTAATTTAAAAATGAAATTTCCACAATGAAGAAACGCTATTGGGCTTTATTTGTAAATTGAATGGAATGGACCTAATTTATCAAAGTTTTAATTAAAAAGTAATAGTGAACCTAATTTACCAAAAAGGAAAAAAAGAATGAAATAGGCTAAAATGTGAAGCCCCCTCTAATATTGACCTGAGATGCGAGTCTCACTCACCTCTATACAAAACTGGCCATGCAGTCAAGAAGGAAGCTTGAAATTCGAGCTCAGTAAAGATTAAAATGTAATAATATCTCCTTCAGATAATCTCTTCTTCAAAGGCCATTTGCTTCACCAATGAGTCTTCAAGCATTTTGTAGAATTCTTCAGAAAATAACTCAAATTCCCTACGACTTTAGTAAAATTAGACACAAAATTTCGAGTTCTTTTGAAGCTCAAGAAATCAAAATCTGAGAAAAATGAGGCTAATGGGCAACTAGAATTAGCCACGAAAGATTTTATTGCATTGGTTTAATTTTTGTTGGGAGATAGGGGTGGTGGTGATGGTGGTTTGTGGTGGTGGCGATGGGGGTGGACTAAGTAGTGTCAGCAATTGTCAGCGATTGAAAAAGGTGATTGTGATTTTGAATTTGGTTGGATGTTGGGCATAGATAGAGTGGCATGGGGAGGGGTTTCGAGTAGATTTCTTATTTCTTTTCTTTTTTTCATTATTTTATGTTAAATTTATATAGTTACCATTTTATCCTTCTTATATTTGGATAAAATTAATTTTTTTTTTATATTCATTTGGACCTCTATTTCTAATTTCTCAAATGTTTGGAGTTTTGATTGGCACAAATTGAAGGTTTGAGTAAAATTTGCAAAAGGAGAGGGGTAATGGACCGTTGCTACAATTTTCCCAAGAAGAAATCCAAAACATTAATTTGTAGATAAAAACTCAAAAGGGAAAAATTCATAAGGAAGAGTTTAAGTATTACACATTTCAAAATCAGGAAAACAAGTTTCAAATTCAAAAATCAAATTTTTATTAAAATCTAATTATGATTTTATTAATTAAACATATTTAGATCACAGATTTATACAATTTGACCACAAATTAATGATTTAATTAGTCACTTATTATTTTTTTTTTTATCACAAATCATAAATTTTATGTCACATTATTTTACAGTCACAATTCAAAAATTTTATAAGTCATAATTTGTTCATCGATTACAAATAAAAACATTTATAAGTCATGATTTATCCATTGGTTGCAAATCACAAATATTACAAGTCACAACTTATTATACAATCACAAATTATAGGTCGCAGATTAAAAATATTTTAGGTCTCACATTATTGGTCACACTTACGACCACCATCTCACCACTACTTCTGACAGCAACGCCACAACCACCGTCGTAGCCAAAGCCACCACCACCATCGCACCACCCATCACCAACAAACCGAACACCACAACATCACCACCAAGAATCGCCACCATTAGATCAAAACAACTACCAACAAAAACCATGACAACCACCATCATTAGATCCCCACCACCACCGCCGTCGCGAGAAACCACACGATCGTCGCCACCAAACACACCAGCAATACCCAACCCACAACCACACCAACGCTACCCACGTCACCACTACCAACACAAGCACCTTCACCATCGCCAGAAACCACCATGACCGCCACAACCAAATACACCAACAATACCCACCGCCAGAAACCACTATGACCACAATAACCATAACCAGAAATCACCACCAAATACACCCATAAATATACCACCACACAACCTTGTGCATCACCCACGAAAAAATTCCCCGAACCAGTTGTCGCTGCTACCATTACATCACCACCACCAACTTATTAGATCTGCGGCAGATTACAGTCCACAATCGACGTTACTGCAAGTCGTGCAACATCACTGTCGCTGTAAGCCGTGGCAGCGATGCCCCACTAGTTTAAAAACAGATCTAAGAAATAAGAAGGAATGTGCATGAGGTGGTTTTGGCGTTAAACGAGAGGAAGACAATTGTTTCGGCACCTATTGCAGCAATAGCAGCGTCGCTGCTATTGTTCTATGGTACCAGATCTGTGTCTGGCTATAGGCGGTGCGTCTGAGATTGACACCGTCAATGATGGTGCAATGCTGATGTTGCAAACGCAATTGGATGCGTGGAGGAAGACATGGGTATTGTGGCAGCTCCACGTCTAGTAATAGCAATGCGTCTGAGATGGTCATGGCCGACGACGTTGATCTTACAAACGCCACTGGAGTTGTAGAGGGAGAGTGGGGTCTAGTACCTTGGATAATATACTAGGATTCAGGATTTTAGTTCATAAAAATATTGATTAAAATAAAATTCCTAATTTTTGAATTTTGAAACTTCCAATTTGATTTTAGAATGTTGAATTTTTAAAATAGAGCATTGTATAATTTTCACAATCGAAAAATACTAGGGCCCATGTATTGGCAAAAGAGAAAAGTCATTTGTACATTAGTGTACATACTCTTTGACATTATTCAAGTTGGCAAGATATGATTGATGAAAAATTTGTTTGTTTCTTTAAATTGTTTAATGGTGTGGTATTAGATGACATAATGTAAAATATGGTATGAATATAGCATGATTGTTAACAAAATCGCATGTCTCTTCCTATCTAAGTTATTCTCTCTCACCTTTTCTCACTGTAAAGTGTGGCCACAGCAGACCCAAATGCCTTCAATTCTTTCTCAACACAACTTTGCTTGTTGACAAATTTAAGACTCCTTTCATGGCCTTTTTCCTTTTTCTTTTCCTTTTCCAAAACACTCACAGATATGATTCTTCTTTCTTAGATTGCCCGCTTTATCAATGTCCAAGCCACTTTCTTGAGTTGCTTTTTGCTGGTTTCTCTGAATTTTTCTTTTGGGTTTTTTATGGTATTTGTGTTTTCAACTCTTGTTTCTTGTACATCAATGTAATGAGTTGGGGTGGTGAGTAGGTTTTGTACTGGGTAGTTGAAGCAGAAGATTTTGCGTAAGGTTTATGCTCTGCCCCAGGTAAAATTCTCAAAATTTCTTCACTTTTGGAGATAAATCATTTCTGGGTTTTGATTTATTGTTCTCCATTTTATTATCGGAAATGTTCCCCTTTCTCTCTGTGTATTAGTTTATCAGAGCTTTTCTTTCTTTTTTCTTTCTTTTTTTCCTTGATTTTTTTTCCTTTTGGTGAAGACTTGAGAACTTGAGATGGGTTGTTAAGCTAATGCTTTCAATGATTTGATTCGTGCATTATGATGAAAATTTTTATTTTGATCATAATTAATTTCACATTTTTTCGTTTATTTTCTTGAATTTTTCAGAATAGTGTTTGTCATCTCTTTCCCCTCCTATTTGAATCTGATTTTGAATGAGGATTCTTGCTTAAGCCAAGAAAAGGAATATTACAGTGATTGTTTTCCCCTTCATTTTATTAATTTTTTTACTTATCCTGCAAATTTGTCAGATTGGCCAGCACAAATTGTGTGGGTACGATACAGTTTTTATATCACAAAGATAATACTCTGTAGAATTTTGATCCATCTGAAGTTTTTGAGTAGTTTTTTTTGTCTATTATTTCCCCTAAATTTTCGTATATATACCATTACTTGAGGATTTTTGTTGAATTGAGTTCACTTCGGGTTCTTATTTCTTGGGAATTGGGACGCATTGTTTATCTTGGCAAAAGATTTCTACATTTTCATTGCTCATTTTTTTTATTTTTATCCAAAACAGAAGTTTAATATTCTCCTGGCTAAATATGCCCTACTCCAAGTTCTTCCGATTGAGCTATGTGTTTGTTAGTGTTTGATATTTTTGTCTTTCCTTATGCTCTTCAAAATTTTCTCCGTTATTCCTCTTTTCGTTCTTGGACTGTGTGATGATAGATAATCATAAGATTCATCTGCTTATAGATTACTTGATGATGTGCGCCTCTATGTGTACTGCTATAATTATATTTGGTATTTCATTAATTTCATTTCATTTCAATTCAGAGTTGAGTTGCATTAATCTTCTTAATATCATTTTCGTTATTGTTTCTAACTCTTGAATTATTGTTGTAATGACCCGGGTCTCTGTACCCAAGCCATTAGCTTACATACTGTCCGCTCTGGGTGGGTTTTGCGCCCACTTACCCCTCACGGCCTTCTGTCGCGTCACCCAGGATTCGAACTCATAACCTTTCTTTTAAGTAAGATTTAAGTTGAATCCTGATACCGAGGGTGTGAGGCTGAGGGTTGCTTTTTATTACATTATGTCGCGTCGAGTCAAAGGTTCAGAATTGTACGAGATACCATAAGGGCCCAATATCTCAATAGCACCTTTGTCTAAAGCTTCGAGATATCAGAAGTGAGAATGCTGACATGAGTAACGAGAAATCCTGTGAAAAACACGATTGCCTGCCAGTGGAAGGTGTTCCAAACCTTTATGCATGCACCTCTGTACAAGATCCGGCCAGGATGATTGGGAAAAGCCGGTTTGGGCTGATTTCTCAAATTATGATATTATTGATCGATTTGGGCGTATATGTCCAATCCCACCTCCTGGTTGTCATCGCTTAATCACTTCCTTTTCCACTAAGTTGGTATCAGGATTCAACTTAAGTCTTACTTAAGTGAAATGTTATGAGTTCGAATTTTGGGGAATGTGACAGAAAGTCGTGAAGGGTAATTGAGCGCAAGGCCCACCCAAAACGGACAGTACGTAAACTAACGACTTGGGTATAGAGACCCGGGTCGTTACAATCGCGAACCTCAAATTCACTCTATTTTAATCGTGGACGTATAAAGGAGAGGGAAAATGAGAATGAAAAAATTCATCTCTCCTCAAGACAATAATTTATGCAAAGACTATGGTCAATGAAAATATCTCTTATAGATAGTTTTAATGCATTGACATGAATGGATCAATGTTCACTGGTTATATGTCTTAGATTTCTTACAGTGTAGATCTTCTTGTCGTGTTCACAGACATGAAAGATACACTGAATTTAACAAAGATTGGATTTTTCTCAGCAGGTGCAAATTTCAATGTCGTCTAAATGCCAAGTCTATTTTTACTTTTAATGGAAAGCTTCACAAAATAGTTGGCTAAGTGAATGAGTGAATTAATTGAATCTCTGAGTGCATGATCAAGCATAAATACTCAAACTTCAATCCTTTGTTTCAGGTCACTTGAAAGAGGTCAACCAAAGATGCAGTGTACGAGTTACGTCCCTGTATATTACTGTGTGAGGAATCTTAATGCAGGTACCAATGACTTCTCTTGGCCCATATTTAATGGCGATACATCTCACAAAAGTGGGAGAAGCTACAATGTTTCATTGCCACCTTCTGGCGTCAACCAATATCTAGGGTATGACAAGGAGGTAATGAGACAGAGAATGCTTGAGCATGAAGCCACATTTAGACTTCAGGTATGCACCATTTGAGGTTTCCAGATTGATATTTTTAATGGTTATTAGTACAATCACATTATTGTGTAAAAATTCTTCCTTTCATTTTTTCCTTTATTTTCTTTGCAGAGTTGTAATGCATGTTATATTCTTGACTTGATTTTCAAAGCAATACATATTAAGGGGTTGTTTGACAAAGCTTTTAATTAATGTTTTAGCAGATTTTGATACAAGTTAATGAATTATGTGGTTGAAAAATTGATTAAGAAAAAAAAGTTGTGGGTTCCATGAAATGTGTGAATAAAATTAATATTTAACTTTGACTTCAACTTGTTAGCAACTATTTAAGCTATCCCAAACAAGCTCTAAACTTCTCATGACTGCTATTGAATTTTTTAAACTCGTTCATTTTATTTTTATTTTTTTACCTAGGGACTCAGATTTCATTTACAATACAAATCAAAATAGAACGTTTGAATGAGTATTCTCTCTCAGGTCCAGGAATTACATCGTCTATACAAAAGACAAAAGGAGTTGATGGGCGAAATACGGGATAGAGAATTCTCCACGCAACAGGTACTACTGCAGACATCAGAATCATATCCATATTTGTGTCAGGTACAATCTGACACTACTCATGGGGTCTCACATACGCCCAGCTGGCTATTTGGAAATTCTTCAGATAGTAAGTTGTATTCACTCACTGAGGACAGCTTTCGAGAACCCCCTCATTTTGTTGCAGAAAAGAGTGTAAAAGGAGGAGCTGGACCTTCCCTAACAAAAAACTGTTCTACCGAACTGGAAATTCTGTCATCCCAAAGTAGAAGATATCGAAAGAAAATTTTTGATCTTGAACTTCCAGCTGACATGTACGATGATGATAAAGAAAGGGAGCAGTTTGAAGAGGGAAATATTAATGAAGCACCTGACATTCTGTATAGTACTCTCAAGAAATTTTCAGACATTGAACTTGAAAGTGACTCAAAACTTGACTCTGTTAAGCCTGCATATTCGTCTAGTTCCAATTTAAATTGCACTAAAATTAGTTGTTTGATTGACTTAAATGAACCTGTACAGCTTGAATCACTTAGTTCAAGTTCTGGTCCTTTTGTAACTGATTATGGCCACAAGGAGACTGTGCACCGCAATCATCAGGATGTGAATTGTGACAAGGGCTCAAGTGGTATAAATTATTCAGGGCTTATTGATCTAAATTCTACGCCTCTCAGTTTATTAGAGATGACAATTACCCTGGAAAATACCGGGAATATGGAAGAGGAAACAAAATTTGAAAATTCCGATGGAAGAGCAAAATCAAATGCTGGGATTGCTGATAAATTCTCGACATCTAACACTGACATGGACTTAAACAGTGGTGTAACTGGGGATGAGCCTTCACTAGCAGTGCCAAATCGAGATGGTGGAAATGATGTTGAGATTGACTTGGAGTGTTCTTCACAGAGAGAAAAACCTGAGAACGGTAATCTTGAGACACCTTCCTTTCTGCCCGACCGAGATGGAGAACCACTCGGGGAACCTGATAGGATTGCTGCAGAGATTTTGATTATGATTTTATCATCTGAAGTTCAACTGCATTTGAAGTCTGCAAGTAGTGAACCACTAGACAACTCCAACGGCTGTCTGTATTGGTTTGCTGGGATTGTTTCTTCCATGGGAGGTGAAGTGCTGCATGAGGTTGAGAAACACCAGAAAGGTGCTACTTACTATGATCAAACTGATGTTTCACATGATGAGATTGATGATTTCGAGCCAATGGCATTTAAGCTGCAACATGGACATGATAATTATTTTTGTCAAGACATCTGGAAAGAGAAAGAAACAGTTGATACTACATTGTCCAGTCGACCAAGCAGGGGAAGAGCACGGGGAACAAGGCAGTGCAAGGACTTTCAAGTAGAAGAGGACCTTCAAATGGATGAAGGATTTCTCAAAACAGGTTCCCGGAGGAGAAATGCAGTTATGAAGACTTCTGCGAAACAAAGGAAATATTCCAATTTACGGCCTTCTAATCGTGTGAAGAAATCAGTGAGCTCTATTTTGAAACAGCCTGATACTTGCAGTAAACAGGGCTTTTTGGAGAACTTGACAGGGTGGGGGAAGATGAAGAAACGGCAAGGAGGTCGAGCTAGAAAAATTCAATCAAATGTAGTTGGCTTCATGGGGGAATGAAGGAAGTTAGACTTTTGTTTCATTACAGGAAATCTTATTATACTCTTAGTAGAATGTTTTTTAGGGACTGGTCTGTGATGACATTTTGATCATGGATATTTTTGTACATAAGCAATTTACTTAAATTATGAAACTGGTTGAGGATTGAGATACATATTTTTGTTATGATAATTGCCCAGTTTGAACCTGAAAATTAAAAACTGAAAATTAGGAATGAGAAGATGGCAGTATTAACATCTTCTTGGTTGGTTGTGGATTATACATTGTATGTGTTGATTAATTTTACCTCATGTAAATACCATGGAATAAGGTTTGATCTGTTTCACAAATGTTATAACAGAGTAGAATTTCATTATGTCATGAAAGCAAGTTTCTGTTGATCATAGATCCAAATGCATTTGTAATTTTCAGCTGCACCAACGATTCTCAAAGAATTTTTGGCAAATGGGTGAATCGATTCATTGCAACGTGACATCCAGTTGGGATGCATTTGCATCGAACAATTTCTTTCATGTTTCTTGGGCTACTTATTTGTTAATTCACCTATCGTCCATGTTCTCTTGAAACGAAATTTACTTTTATATTAAGGTCGCACTACCAAAGAGCCTTACTCGTCAGCAACAATTCTCTTTGCAAATCGATATTAAGAGCGAACTCTATCCAATTTGATTGTCTCTGATTTCGTCACAACTTCATAAAAAATACTTCTATTAGCTGGTCCACAAATCCGACATTGCCAAAAAAGCAAAGTGTCATCTGTTTGATCATTATTCTTGAAAGAACATCTAATATTTCAGTCACAGACTGATTGAATTACATCTCCTTTGACTCAATATTTAGAGGATTTTCTTGATTTTTTTTGCAATTAATAATAATGTATATAATAAATATGGAATTTGTGATCAAAATTAAAAAAAAATTCAGCCTTCGCAGGTGATTTCTTTAACTCCCTACTGAGCAAGATTCATAAAACTATGCGAAGGCTAACGAAATACTTCCAAAAAAGTTCATAGGAAGAAGAACAATTTTCAACGCCGTCACGAAGTAGTGATGAGTTAAACTATTCGCATCGGCCTGGAAGTCGGTATGGGTGCCTTCACAGGGTGAAAGCCTCGTTCCCAAGCTGAGTGAAGTGAGGGCTTTTATGTGCCTCTTGAAGCATCTCTTCGTCTTCATATGAATCACGATAAGTTTCCAAGTTGACATCAGAACTTCTTAGGGCTGATAGACAGAGTTCTTTCCTCCATTCTTCTAAATGTGGAAAACCAATATAATCTGCATATTTATCACAATACTGCAAGGAAAATGGAGTCAAATTCATAAAACAATAAGATTAATGATTTTCTTCAGCACAGCCCTCGGGTGCAAAACATATTCATTTTTCTTATCAAAGACCTAATAGTTTCATTATTTTCATAAATAGGTGACAACATGACTTGAACTTAAGATATCTACGCATAGAATACCGTGTCGAATTGCACAACTTAAAACTACTTGAGAGATGATACATTTATTTATTTAAATTTAGTCTTCAACTGACGATATATTCGTTTAGTTTGTTAAGCAATTGTTTGATAAAGAGACATTTTAAGTCAACCCTTTTGTTTATTACATACCTTGGCTAAAGAGTGTCGAGTCTGGCTGCTAACGTATCAAGTGCGAGAGTATGACAAAAAGCAAAATTTAGCATGCAAAGATTGAATATTTTCATGTAGAAAATAATTTATCTCTATGAGAATGGTGCATTTGGAAGGGTAAACTACAAAAGATGGGGATATCATAACATGTAATTCTGTATAAGATATTGTACTCACGAAATAATGAACGCTAACTCAAAATAAATTATCAAAATAGTTAGAGATATAAGTATATATAATTTACCTCAAAATCTGCAAGATCGTGAGTATTGTGCTTTGGAATTCCAGCAACATCCCTTGAGTGATAAAATTCCTCAATAGACTGCATCATTTCATCCCATGATGGCAATGTTCTTTTCCCAGACAATAGTTGAGATATCCATTTTGCTTGGCACTCAAAGAAAGGAAATCCTATAAGCTACACCAAATTACAAACCAAAAATTACTAAAACCTTCGCCTACAAAAAACTCGACTGATAAACAATTCATGAACTAGTTGTATACATATTAGTCCGAATTTATGGCTCGTGTTACACGTACAACTTTTTCGAGTTTGTTTTACTCATAATTTAAAATATTTAAGACAATGTAAGAAATACAAACTTTACCTTTCTTGGGATGCCAATGAAGGAGAGAGAAGGAGCTAGTGATGGAGGAAACGTGTGTTCATAAAGGGGTCCCACCCTATCATCATCAACTACTACAATTCCTTTGGTGTCAAGAAATGGAAATGAATATGAGTACCTGCGTTTACCCACTTGTATTTGTTAATTGTTTGTCTCGTTTCTTTATAAATAATCATTAGTAATTCTATAAGTTGCTTTGGACTTCATTAAAATGAGATTTTGAGAAAAAATAATGTTTTGGAGAATGTGTAATTAAAAAATAAAGAAATATTTTAGATTTACGAGTATCATTATTTTATAAGAGAATGTATTGGTGAAAATATATTTTGAAAAAATGCAACCCGAAAATGACAATAATGTTGAAGTAAAAGTTCTAACCGATTTTGAGGTGGTTTCTATAGGGCCACCCTTAACCAAACATGGCCCCTTTTTTTTTCTTGTTTCCTTTTTTTCCCCCTTGCATGCTACGCTAATTTAAGTGACCCAGGACGACCCACTAGATGTCACAGGGTGGACCGTGCTCTTGACAGGACGATCGCGTCGTAAATTTAACAACTCTAGAAAGAGGTCAAGTTGTGTCATTATAAACTCTAATCAAGTCATTTTATCTGATACTATTAGGCCTCTGATTCAATTAATTAGTATAATTCACCCCCAAATTGTGTAATTTCGTTAAAATATCAGTTTTTTGTTTTGTTTTCCTTTATAAATATTAATATATCTTCTGTAGCTTTTCTTTTCCATTGAATAATAAACTTTATGGTAATAGCATTTTACCCTGTGCAGTATATAATGGTGTCTGCAATCAGCCATGAGCCATCTATGAACAAAACCCTTCCATCTTCATGCAATGAATCAATCTGCATTATACATGATATTTTCACATTGTATTTTTCAATTATTTTGGAAAAAAAAAAAAAAAACTGATATTTATTTTGACATACCTGGGGATGAAGGTGTAAGTTATCATATTTAGAGATTACTTTTGATAGGCCCTCTGAAATATCAAGAGATTTGGCACTTAGGTGAATTTCTTTTGCCACATCTACAAGCTCCATTGATATGTCCTGCCCACTTAATGAACTTCCAATAACCACTACTACCTGTAAAATGAGATTTTTTAAATATTAATTGGAAATAATTTGAGATTTATATTTAATAAAAAGGTTGAACCCCAACCTTAAGGGCCCCCACCGACCCTGCCCTGAGCCATCGTGGAGGAGGTAAATCGCAGAATGTGCCTCCCACGAGCCAGGGTGGAGAGCACATGGATAGGCCAAGGCTGTTAACCCATATGGTAACTCCCGCTTGCAACAAAGTCAATTCCACCTTGCGAGGAATCGAACTCTGCACACTGCCGCGCTGAGCCCTATCCGCCCTCCCCTTTGCCACTAGAAGATATTTAATAATATACTAGGTTACTTGGTCCCTGATTTATTGTGTACTACTATTTAATTAGAATATAACTTGCCTTAACAGGAAGATCAATATTATATATGACACAAGCATGCACCATGAAATGAACTTGTCAAGGTTATGATTATGTTACAAAGTGACACGAAGCGTAGTTAAAAATTTATATTTATGAGCGAGGCGGATAGTACAATACGGACAATAACAAGAAACAAAACAAAAACAAAAACAAAATTAAAAAAAAATAGTTCATTGTATTGTTTAAACGTTATCTTGAGTACTGCATACTAAAGAGACTCGTATATTTACGTAAAATCTTATTCAAAGAAAATTGTTTCACCTCATTTTTGAATGGTTCTGGGACCCTGTAAATGTGGCTATGTATTTGCTTCCTTCTCCATGCATCCATTCCTAAGAAGACAAAACTGCGTGTTTTGATAAGAAAGTATCTCATATAATTTCTTGAAAATAACTTCTTATGCTAAAAATTCACTTAAAAGATACTTTTCATAAAACTATGGTTTCAAGAAAAGTAACTTTTAAGTATATTGTATACCTTTAATTTTAGGCAACCTAGGCTTAGAGTAGTGGCCGGTGGCCACAACCACTGCGTCATAAACTTCCTCCACCGCCTTCTCCGCCATTTTCTCTTTACTTTTCACAATCCATTTCAAATCCTTACCGAAATTAGGAAAACTCAACATCTCCACATTCTCAACCCTAGTATTAAACCTTATCATTTCTCTTAATCCAAAACATTCAGAAAAATCTTTTAAGTACAAAAGAAGCTCCTTATGGCCGGGGAATCTTCTCGTATCCCTCCCCTTTTTCATTCCAAATGGAAAATCAGTGAACCCCATAATTTCCCTTGGTGAAACCAATCTCAATGATGCATATATACTACTATGTACCTTCAAGAAATTATCCCTTCCTAAAAGCTCCTCATCCTCTATTTTAGGGTCATATAGCCATTGCCCTCCAACATCATGGTTTTGCTCAAACACCACCACCTTGTGGCCTTCCTTCCTCAGCTCCCGGGCCGCCACGAGCCCTGACGGACCGCTACCAATCACGCATACATTTTTTGACATAGTTATCGAAGGCATCAATGGCACACAAGGACAATGAAGTAATATGATACAAGGTATGGGATATATATGAGGGTGCATGAGAAGGCATTTATACTTGAAATGTTTGGTACAAGGACAATTAGGTATTATGCTAAATAGCGTTTGGTTGCTCGCTAAGAGACTCCACGTGACAAAATCATTATCATTTTTGTTAGGATATGTCTCCATTGAGTTGAGGTTCTATTTAATTAATGTTGTGTTGAAACTTGAAAGACACTTTTAATAAAAAAAATAGATTTTCAATTACGTTGATATATACCGTTGAGGATAACGTTCTATATTATAAAATTAACTTATTACGAAAATTAGCATATATTTTAATTCATGAGAAGTGTAACGCGTAAATCTATGAATGTGGGGTGAAATTTTGACCTATGTATGTTCTAGTACTATATTAAATTCATTTCATCTAAAAATTTAAATTACAAAAATAGTATTAAAACCATTCCCTCTAAAAATATGAATTACACAAACATTTTTTAACTAATGTTTTATTTTATTTTATTTATTTATTTATTTATTTTTTTGTCTTCGAAAACATTTCATCACAAACAGTGCCAAGGCCAAAATGATTACGTTGTGAAACTTTCATTTTAAACTGATATGGTAGCCCTACTTATGGGACTCTATTAAAGTATGTTCGTGATTTTAGGGCCAGTAACGTGCATGGGTGCGACCCACCTACACAAATGTTTTCAATGGGTTAACTATGTCAATGGTTATTGAATTTTTGAATAACTACGTCAACGATCATTAAATTTTTAATAATTATGTCAAAGATCATTAAAGATATTTTCTTATGGTAAAAGTCACTCATATTTCTAATTGAAATAATGTTACATAACAATATTGATATTGTATTATCAATCTAGTTGGCATGTAAGTGATAAAACGTCTCATTTTACTATTTTTATGTGAATAATCGATTAATGACACTTACGTAACATTACTCTTCAACTACTACACTAATGATAACACGATGAAACAAAATCAATACCAAATTCAAAATTTAAGAAGATTACATTCATTGTTTGGTCAAGTAAAACTAAGAAAAAATCTACATTATTTAAGGTAATTTTTATTTTAATGTCCAAATAAGTAACTTTGCCCAATAAACGTATTATCTATAACCTTTATTTACATGTTAACGGTTTTACAAACATGCCGATCGAGCTATCAGCAATGCGTACAAACTTAATAAAAATAATTTTCATTGTTAAGGTCCTGATTGAGGCTCATATTTTCCTCATTAAAATGAAAAATATAACCGTTATCCATCACATCAAACTATCATATTTGACTTTTTATCTTTTGTGTGGAGCTCATAATGACTATATTTTTCATTCTCATTTTTACAATAATATGGTTCAAACGGGAACTAAATAATTCTTTGATTTGATAAAATCCTTAAACTTAAAAAGTCGAACGTGATTCAAATAATACCTGTCTACTTTTGTCTTTTTAGTCTCATTGAAAAACAGTAAAAAAGTAACGAAAAAGCAGATTTGACTGCCGAAATTAACCCAAAAAAGTTACAGGCCAAACAAGTTATAATTAAAATGCAGCATATAAAGCTTGATTTGTAAGTTCAAATACCCAAAAGTGGTCCTTAAAGAAAGATTGTCCGGAACTTCAATTTGACCGCACCCCACAATCGATGTAGTTTACCTTGAAAGTTCAATGTAATTATGAACTAAATAAAAGTATATTTAGTCCTGTTTGATTCCCATTATTTTCTCATTAAAATGAAAATTATGATCGTTATCCATTACATCAAGTCATCAAATTTGAATTTCTATCTTTTGTGTGGAGCCCGTAACGACTATATTTTTTCATTCTCATTTTTCCAAAAATGAGAAACAAACGTGAGCTTAGTTACTTAAAGATTTCTAAAACGTATGATAAGAAATTATATGGTTTTTTCTCTTTGAGGAAAAAAAAAAATGAAAAGCAGAGTAAAGAACGGAGTCAAATTGAAATTCATAAAAGTGTTCATTTTAAAAAGAAAGATGCGTGACAAAATTTGTTTATTGTTATATCCTATCAGATCCATGTCAAGTATACCTTGAGACGTGTAAACTTATTTTGATACCACGATTGAGATTTTAAAAATAGAGAAAATGGGATTGTAATTGATTTTGCTCTTGTTTGTTGGTCTTTAATTTAATTTTCATACTATTTTCAACTACACATTCACACAATAAAATATTGTAAATATAAATCCAAAACTTTTTCCTACTTTTTAACCACACATTCTTCAAAAAAGATTATTCAAAACATTTTTTTTCTAATTTAAGGACAACAAAAAGAGACTTCGTTTGGCCCCCATTTTGTAAAAATGAAAATGGGTGGAACAATGTTTTTTTTTTTTAAATGAGTGGTTAAAAAAGAAGAAAAAAATTTCGATTTATGTGTAATATTATTTTATGGAAGATTGTGCGGTTGAAAATAGGAGAGAGAAAAATAAAATGTAAAGAAATAAAAATTAATATACATCACACAATTTATTTGAATTATTGGTATAGATTCTTGCAATTACTAAAAATCAAAAGATTTTAAATCATCTAAGCATATGGGACACTATTTTAATTGTAAATTTATTTCAATATTTAGTTTGGATCAACATAATTCAATAACTTTCAAGCATTCCAAGAAATTTATGAGCATAAAAATGTGTTTGAATTCTAGAAATTTTAAATATCTAATATTTTTTAGCATCCTTAACCTCCTTCAATGATTATACAACAGAAAAAATTACATGATCACTGTTTTTTCATGATTATTTATGTTCCCTTGACTTCGAATAGAGGCAATCCAACCCAAGAAAGCCAAAAAATATAAGTAGACATGAACAATCATGTTTTCTAACACGATTTATCGAGTTTCAATTTCTACTTTCTTTTTAATCAATGCATAGGGGCATTAAAAAGGTGAGTTGGACAGATCTTTCTTGAACTAAGAGTTTTACATTCTTGATGAAAGTAATATGGCGAAAGTTACAATCGAACCACAATTTCGAGTATTTATTTTCTCTTAGAGGATTTATTTTTTTCATGAATATCAATGTCCCACTTCTGCATTTTATATCAATCAAATATTATCCTCTAGTTATTTTTGTTGTTTATTTAATTTCGAAAGAATTTGATTGATCGACTTGTGTTACATTGACTAACTAAATCAAGGCATTAAGCGAATGACGATAAACAAATATTTTTTCATACATATACACATAATAAATAAAAGAAAAATGATTAAATTACAGTGCTTGCAGTTAATTCGAAAGAAGTTAAAATTGACTTAGGATTTAATATTTGATGATTAGTGCACTTATTTAGAAAGGTACTTATAGCGAAAATAGGGATATAAACGAGTCGAAGCTTGGGGCTTGTCACACCCCCATTCATATACATAATTATCCATTAATCTATGTGGGAATAAAATTGATAGCTCAACCTAAACATAGAATTTCTCACTTTTTTTTCACTCGACAAAATGACATAAGTTATGTCTCTAAACCAAAATCATGTCGCCATAATCAAACATATATATTCTGACATTATAAACAAATCTACATGCCATGTCAAAAGATATACAACACATGATCCCCAACATACAACACAATAGGCCATAAGCTCAAAATAGCAGCCCACAACATAACCTTATAGATCATTATCCATGTACATAACTCTGAAATCCCGTAAAAGCTCTACAGCTAGCCGTACTCTCTATATAGTTCCAGGCTAACCTACAATGTAAAAATTACATAAGTCAATGCTTAGTAAAAAAAAAATCATGCATGTCATGAATATAAATAAAAACGATATATGTCATTACGTCATTTACTTTAAACATTACGATAAAGAAGCATCATATTCCAATATGTATCAAAGTCGACTCGAAATCATTTCATTGGGCCCTTGACCCACCTACTATACACCGGATAGAGCTCTGCATAATATCAATATCAATAATCAAATGGCCAATATGAAATCGACACCGATGAGTGGACCATCCTCTCGTGACCACTAGAGGCCCATTCCCTAACTATCCCTATGATCACCCAAGAAGTCTCCCACCAAGTAGCACCAATAATCATAATATCACAAGGGCATAGTCGAATGGTCCACCCTCCCGTGATCACCCAAGGCTCATCTCCTGTCTACCTTTACAATCACCCAGGAAGTATCATCCACTATGCCAAACATATCATATAAGCATGCCTCACATACCTCGGCGCCCTAGTAGTGGTCGATAAAATATTTATAAAGAAAACTTACTTTGAAATCATGTTTCGCATGTAGGATTTTCAACCATGTCACATGTCGTGCATCCATATGAAAATGCTCATGAATGAAGTATTTAATGAAAATTGATGTCAATAGGTTCCGCAACCTCATACTCAACGATCATAACCATCATATGATGTGTTATAAGCCTCTTCTCAAAGTTGTATAAATATTCCAACATTACCATATCACAAATACTAGGTTCTTGCATTGTGGTTGGAAATGGATTTTTACTTACCTTTCACCTTTGTGTGAGCAAACTTCTACGGAGATTAGATCAATTTCCTTTTTCACTCGAAGTCGGAAAATCACATGTCTTACCATTTAATATTAAAGATAATCCTTAATTTAATAATCTTAACACACAAAATCCCAAAATACATCCATTCTCACCAAAATAATTTAGACGAAATCATCATTTCAAGTTACCGATGACATTACAAAATAATCCCATAAATCTCGCTATTTCTCGAGTCAAATTATGCACGTCAATGTCATCCAATTGTTGTCGACAACCTAGTACTCCTTAGAATTCATTTTCTAGGCCCAAGAGATGATTAATGGATATGTAAAGGTTGAGACCACATTTAACAAGAAAATTGACAGAATCTGTTATTCAGGTTTCATCACCGTCCAACTACTTTTCCAATCCTTTTTCACCCTCTTATCTATATCCAATGACTGCCAAATTTTTACCACGTTTCTATAACATGTATGTGAAGGTAATAATGCTCTAAA